CTGCCCCCCCTGGAATTTGGAATTTTACACACCACACCCTCCCCCCTCGGTAGCTTCGCCCCCTCGTGTCCGCTTACTGCCCCCCCTGGCATTTTGCTCAGGCTACGGCCCTGACTGGAGGTCAATAGTAACGACAAGGTTGTTTTTTTTTTTTTTTTTTTTTTCAACAAAATCATCACCAAAACATGCAATAAACTATTTTTAGATTATGTTTCTATCAGACTTAGGGTCTATTCCCACAACTTTAGATCGATCTATCACCGCGGGGAGTCTCACCAGACTACCGTCAGATAATCCCCCTTAAGTGTCCGTCCCCGCCCACTACAAGCCGTAAGTGGCAATTAACTTTCGTGTCCGCCTGGCTGGCAGCTATTCAGCGCGAACCCCCAGGGAGTTAGGTCAATCCAAAGTAGGTCGATCTAATCTATGGAAATGGGGTGTAAGGTTCATAGTTTCTGCATATGCCAAAAGGCCTTATATTCTTATAATATAATTATGTTATTACATTGTAAGCTTCTAATATAGTAAGTTGTGAGTGATCAAAGGTTTTGTGGGTAGAAAAAAAAACCTGCTACTTTCAGAATAATACCTGCACTGACAGCAGATTTATTAGATTATTTGCCCTACAAAGATTAATTTTTTAACCAAACCAAACAAAGTACTGAAATGTGCAACTATTAGGCTTAGTTTTAGGGATGATATACACAAACGGAATTTTGAAACATAAATAAACATTTTGAATCACCATTTTTGGTATTTCTGACCATCCTATTTTGAACTACTAAATGAAGAAATATAATTCTATAAAAAAAATTGTCACCTGGACGAAAGATTTACTGTTAATGTTTGAAAATGCCCGAAAGGTATTTTCTATGTCCACATGTCCTGCAAAGCTATTCATCTTTCCCCATTCAAACTTTGAAAATGTTAATCACCTCAAACAAAAGTACTTGATGTTGATATTTCTCTCTTAGGTTGAGGGAAGAAAAAGCTATCTTAGTGACTGATCAGTGATTAAGAACTAATTAATTAGAAATGGTATAAAGCAAAGAATCACATTGCAGGGATGGGTTGAGCAACAAATGGCAAGACAGAGTAAATGACTTCCTATTCAAGGTCAATAGTAGCTATGGGCGTATCTCTGCCAGTTTTGGAGATATAATGGATGGAAAACTTGCAAAGTTCAGTTTATGGTAAAAAAATGCACTATACTGAAGGTGTTTTTTTTTTTTTTTTTTTTTTTTTTTGTTTGTTTGTTTGTTCTACCCAGTAGATATGGTTTAGGAGTTGCGCTATATCAAAAAGTACAGTGCCGCAAAATTCAGTGGTGAAAATTAAATGTGAAATACTCCAAAGCTGGCAGAGATATGCCCATAGTTACTATTAAACTTGAATAGGAAATCATATACTGGCAATATGTGACCTTGAATTTGACCTTTGACCTTTTTACCATGAACGGCACTTCACAAACTTGGATTTGACCTTTAAAATTTCCCCATGATTTTGTTATAAAGTGAAATTTTTAACAAAAAATATAGAACTCTTGTTTACTGCATTTTGTAGAGCTTGCCAATCACAACACTGGAGGTGGTGTCCCTTTCTTTAGTTTTCCATAAGAATGCGCGTACTCCAGCTGGTGGTACAATACCTGGAGGCAGTATCAACTCTCTGATCCTCTAGTTTTTATAGTTTACCCCAATAAAATGAAGAAGAATGAAAGTAGCTTACACTTTTCCCTTTTAGCCCTATTCAGGTTTTTTGTGAACATTTTGGTAAATTCTGGTAAATTAATTCATGCCGTGGGGGCAAACTGTCTGCTGTACATACACGTCATGATTTCACTTCCTAAGTATAATAAAGCAAAGGGCATTAAAAATACTAAAAGCAACTGTACCAATTCTGCCTCGTCTTCACTCACAAAGGGCTTACGTGAGATAGAACTAAGCCGTAGATGCTCAGAGAACTTAGTTGCCTTGTACATGCGAATCGGGGGTTTTCATTACGTCTCTGTTGTGTGTTTTCTCCAGACTCTTCATTGTTTCACAGGTAGTTTGTTAGATTTCTATATAGTTTGACGTTGATTATAATTTCTGGTTGGATTTTATCACTTTCTCCAATTCACAGGATTAAGTGCACAGCGATTATCAGATTAAAAAACATTTTTTATTGCAATAAATGTTGCAAATACAGTGTTTTAATAATCTAATTGAACAGTGCGAGATGGGTAGGTACAACATATAATGTCAAGTAACTGAGGACTGCACTGTACTAAAGAATGTATTAAATTACATTAAATTTCATACATTTTAAGAAAGAGACTTTACACTACCACAATATTTCTCTCCTCTTAATAATTTTTCTTTGTATAACTTCTCATTTTTATCTTAATGAAAATAAATATAAACTGACAGTCAATGAAAACGCATCATTTAATATTTATCAAAAAATATAAAAGTTCCTTTGGCACATTAAGAAAAGAAGTGTTTGTGTGAAATATGAAATAGTGGTCATCCCAATCTCTTATGACCAAACAAGTGCATTTGTACTCCTTTACATGGTTGGAATGGATTCTCAGTAAAAAAGTACAAGAAAGTTTTCTGATGTGTTTTCAATGACTGTCAGTATATAAAACTGGCATATTTTTACAAGTTTAACATCAATTTTATTATGCACAAACAAAGCATTTGAGATATGTTTACCCACAAATCTACTTCATCCATTTTAAATTTCAGCTCAAAATGAACATTTTCGTGTTATATGCCTAACTGATACATGCATATAACAAGGTGTTGCATTGCACAGTTGGTAAGTTGTAAGAACTCTAGAGTTGACCTCTCCCTCTTTGAACCTCTAGTTTACAGATTTAGCATTCTCTGACTCAATTTTGATATTCTGAATAATAAGCCAATTAAGTTGATTCTCAATTATTGTTATTCTCACACAAGCAGCAGGGAAATCCAAATGTTTGGACATATCCCTGTAATAAAAGAAAGGGCTGTTTATTTTTCCTATGGCCACAAACTCCCCACAAACTGCAAACGGATTCAACTCGGCTGAAGCATTTTTTGTGATGTTTCTACTCTCAGGACTAGCTTTGCCAACTTCAATGATGCCATTATACAAAAAATCATCCTTGTAAAGGACATGGCCAGTGTACACTTCAGCAGCATATATTCTTTGCAACTCCAGGAATTTTACTAGGATGTAACCATCACGTTTTGGTGATTTTGCCCAAAAGAAATTGCCATCATTCAAGTAAGCATGATTTAATACATGCTTTGGGGATGCAGCATTTAAATTAGTACTACATAAAGCGGGAGGATTTTCTCCACGAAGAGGCAAATAATCTTTTTGTTTAAAGTGCATGGCATTTACGTCATCTGATCCATTGGTTTGTTTAGTTTGTAAGTCCTGTTGCTGAAAAAGAGTTGGCCTTTTGAGAAAGCTCTTGAATTGATTCTTTGATTTTAAGAAGTGTGTTATTAACCTGTCACATGGCTGCTGCTCAAAAAAGAGAAGAAGAAACTGACCTAACTGAGGCAGATCCTCAGATCTTAACAAATTTCCTAAACATCTTTGAAATGAAAACTGCAACATGGTCCAACTGTAAGACTGCATCTGATGAATGAAATGTTTTATGTCTTTAATGAAATTCTGAGCACATAAAACATCATCATTTAAGTGTAGATAGTACTGAGACATGTTGTAAGCATAGAAAGACATGAAAGCTAGGTCAACATTATGCTTTGAGGTTTCTTGCATAAGTTTACTTGAATAATTGAAATTATGGTTCAGCTTATGAACTGGAGGATAAAAACTTCTTTCAGCTTCTACAATTTGAAGAAATCCACTATCTAAATATTCTTTGAAATTTTCTGACAATTGTGTCTTAGTTCTGTTCTTGTACATGTCATCGAAGTCTGCTAAAAATATGACCACCACAATTTCTTTTTTCTCTTCCTCTGATGTCTCCATGATGACTGACTGAATTGTTCGATGAAGGTACTGTGCATTGTCTGATCGTTTTACTGATGAAATACCAATGGTGAGGAAACCTGAAATGGAAAATGAAACACAGAATGGATTTTTCCATCTTTAAAGTTTAATTTGATAATGGTATCTATTTTTGCTTAAAAGTTTTGGAAAAAAAAATTTTGCAGAGAATTGGAGAAAAGCAAATAAAAATGTTATAAGTTCCCTAAAAAAGGAATCTTATCATGCTGCTTTACATAGTAAATAATACTAAATAATACCACACATGCACATGCAAGTAAAGTGCCATACGTTACTACCTCATGCCGAGATAAGTACGTGTATTGTAGGTCAATAAATCACCAGAAATTTGCAGAGGGTGCAGTTTTAGAGCTCTTTTATTTTAAGGCTGACCAAATTATCCATGCAGTTTGTCCCCTGATATGTCAACTTTATTTGGGTGGTACAAGTAACTAGTAGAATTGGTTTGTGTTATAGGAAATCCATGTTCACTTCATATGTAACTATAATTTCTTTACATTGGATTCAAATTCTCCACTATGCAGCCCCAGTCAGAGGTCATTGGGTGCCTTAATTTTCATAGTTATGCCAGCCACATAGTAATTGAAATCTCCTTTCAACTTTTTATGTACAGACACAGATGTGTCTGTACATATTGCCATCACCTGCGTCTGTCGTCGCCGATGCCGTCGCCAGCGCCGTGCACTTTCATTGTAAACACGATAAGTGGAAGGCAGTTTTACTTTTTGGCTTTATATTTACAGAGCTGATAAATATTCATAAAACGCAGGTCAAGTTTGAAAATCAGCATGATCAGGCCATTATTGTAGAAGTTATGCTGTTTTTTTCACTTTTCAGCATATATGCAACACTGTAAACACATTTCAAGGAAAACTGATTGGCCAATTGTCATTAAACTCACAGGAGTGATCAATCCTGCTAAAACGCAGGTTGAGTTCGAAAATCAGCATAATCGGGCTACCATTTTAGTAGTTATGCTTTTTTTTTCACTTTTCAGCATATGTGCAACGCTGTAAACACAATATAAGAAAAACAGATAGGCCAATTGTCATTAAACTCACAGGAGTGGTCACTCCTGCTAAAACATAGGTTGAGTTCAAAAATCAGCATAATCGGGCCATCATTTTAGAAGTTACGCTGTTTTTTCACATTTCCTCAGATTTAATTCTTAGGCATGTTAACAGTTTCATTATTTAATTAATAAAATACGTAAAAGTGTTTGTTCGACATTTCCTGCATCTTTACAACATTGTTAGTTGATTTTGTAAAATTATGGTAAACTTGTTATCGTGTATTGTGTAATAAAGTTTCAAAAATGGAAATAAACTCATATCATTGCAGTTTGTCAGATTCAATCATTCACTATGTTCAGAATCTCAGAATGGAAGAAATTTGTCATTTAACACTGCTCTATTGATATTTTTCCCATCTCATCAATTTTCTTAGTTGATCATATAAAAATGGCAGTAAACTGTTAATTTTGTTTAATGTTAAAAATTGCTGAAAATGGAACAAAAAACATTTCAGAACAGTGCTGTCTTGTTTACATTTTGGCATTTTCAATTTGTGACTTTGAAGTTCCATGGGCCTGAAGACCTTTGCTAGTCACATTTTCTTAATATCCATGATACTAATATTTTATTATTAAAAATTGATGGTCATTATGCTGTTAAACATTATGTAATATTGCATCAAAATTTGAAAAAAACCTATTTTGGGCACTGCTCCCATGATGACCATTTAGAAAAACCATGTCACTTCAGAATCTCAGAAAGGAAGAAATTGGACATTTAACACTGCTCTATTGATATTTTTCCCATCTCATCAATTTTCTTAGTTGATCGTATAAAAATGGCAGTAAATTGTTAATTTTTTTATGTTAAAAATTGTTTAAAATGGAAAAAAACATTTCAGAACAGTGCCGTCTTGTTTACATTTTTTGACTGTATCTGCTTGTTGTTGACTATGTGCTATACCCGGCTGGTAGTATCTGTACACACCCAGGAGGTGACGACTCTTCTCTGATCCTTATGTTTTTGTCATATTCTGATAATTTTAAGATTAGTTACTGATGTGTATTTAACAACTATAAGAAAATGTTGGACCTGTGATAGACTTTCAGTATAGCATTTCTTAATATGATATCCTTGAAGTTAAAAAAAATTCAAAGAACCATGATACTGGATCCAAGCAACCATTCAAAATTTCTCACCTCTTTCTTTCCTTTGAATTCCTGCAACTTCTACTAAATTTTCTCTCATTTTTTCCCATGGGGACTTTCTGTTGGTTATACTGAACCCTGATCTAGTTAGTAGATGCACAACCTGAATATAATCAGAATACTACTTTAATTTACAAAATCCATAAAACTGCTCTAGGCTATTCTATACAGTATTAATCTGTTATCTGAAAAGTAAAAAAATGATGCTTATATCCCATTACACAGATATTGTATAGTGTATTTGAACAAGTAGATCCCAGGGAAACCACACTGTCATACAGTGGCTTCACATCAAGCATTTTTAAAGATATCAGTCAGGTGTGAATGATGTATCATGTCATGGATGTCTTCAGGCATATAGACCCATGTGCACATATATCATATAAAATTGATGTGAAAGGTTTATACAAAATGAGGCAATTGAAGCTAGAAACTGTGCAAACAATACCCATGTCAAGACTGAGTAGGCCACAACCCACTGTATATCAGTCTTATAACACCAGGAAATAACCTGTAAAACAGTAAAGATTATTCTAATGGAGAAAAAGGCTGAAAACTTGTAAATTCTTGCTAGAAATCACACAAAACAAATGCATAATATTTCAGATAATTTTTTTAATTGACATATTTTAGCAGGAAAACAATATCCATTTGATTGAACTGTTAGATATCTCGATAGCAACATTGTGGTCCAGGTAAACACATTCTGGTTACAAAAAAAAAAAAAAAAAAAAAAAGAGAATCAATTAATCAAACAGGACCAGACAAATGGCTTCAGTAAGTTTGCAGCTTACCAACATATTTGTTCAACATGTTTGCTTGCTGGATATTGATCCATTTTCAGGCCTGGGGCCCATTTCACGAAGCAGTAGTTAGTTAGAATAACTAACTACTGAACTATCTCGCTTACGAGAAAACTTTAGGGGTGTTTCACGAAGCAGTCATTAACTCATCGCTAAGTTCAGTCGTAAAGTTCGGTCGTTAGTTCTCTCGTTACTCACCGTAGTCTCGAAACAGTTTACCGGAAGTGGAACTCTTGCGTAAAAGTGTCGCGAAAGCTCTAACTCTCCAATTTTCGGCGGCTGGAAATGCATAAGAACGTCTGCTTTGAGGTCTTCGTAAAGGATCTCCACCACCTTTTTGCCACTCTTTTTGTCACAGCTAGGCGCAACCTCTCGTAAATTGCATCATCGCGTGTATATTCTAATAGATTCCGCCTATCATGAAACCATCGTAGTCTACGTTGCTGTCTGGCGGTACGGATAGCAAGAAAGGTCGTCGCCATATTGGATACAAAGACAAACGACAGACAACGGTAACTAAGCAACCTTTTTATTTCACTCATTACGCATGCGTACGATGAAACTCTAGAGTTAGCAACTGGTCTGACCAGTCGTTAAATATCCAAGGCAACAACGAGACAATAACGAGCGAGAGAACTAACGACTGCTTTGTGAAACGGCACTATAACTAGCGAGAGGCTAACTACCGATCGCTAACTAACTACTGCTTTGTGAAACCGGCCCCCGACTTCCCGAGTGTTCATAACTTAACTGCCACTTTGACTTTTCATTAGAGAGATAAGAGTCCGAAAGAGAGATCAGAAGTTTTATTTTTAACTACTTGTAGCAATACATGACTAAGCAGCAAAGTTGGCAAATATACAGACACCTAACAGGAAAAAAAAAAAAAAAAGAACACAAAAAAAATCAGTAACTTTTGGAAAAATACTCATAAACATAAAATAGTCGCTCAGCAAATTTGAAGTAAAACAAAATTAGGGTTTGGCATTATGGGGCAAATGTTGCCAAAATACATGAAAAAAATTTAAAAGAAAGAAAATAACTTTGCAGTAAAATAATACAGTAGAGTTGACTTTCAAAAAGAAACGGCTTAATAAATATACAAAGCCACTCTGAAAATATGAAGGAAAATAAAAATGTGATTTAATTGGCAGCTCTAGGGACTTATGTTTTCCAGACAGCAATGGTGATGACAGGGTGATCAGAACATATAATATCAGGACTCTATAACCCTCTAAAAGTATAATTATATTCTGTTACAAGAAGTGTGCTCAACTTTGATTCTCAAGTACAACTCATGCATGCAGACAGGCTTTATTATGTAGAGTCACCTCTTTGGTTGAGTAAAAAAAAAACAAAAAAAAAACAGTTTCCATATCACATACTGATTCCACTTTCATTAAGTTGAAATTGTATTTATTACAACTTTAAATGAACATTACCAGTTCTTCTTCTGTGAGAAGTGCACTACTTGATTTTTCAACCACAGCTGATATTTTCTCCATGGCTGCATCTAATAATTTTTCAGCTGCATCTGGAGATAAATAAAAAAAGAATATTGCATTTAATCTTATCATTTTAATGTTATTGTTTCTTTTTTTTAAGCTAAAAGCAATAAAGTTTAGGTTCACGCCCAATATAAATATATTTCTTATTATTACAGCAATAATCTTTGTAACTTATCTGATTCTTAGTGCTCTCTAACATTACTACATGTAATTGTATTTTATATTCATGTACTAGTTAAATTCTCTGAAGTTGAAGATCTGGTACACAATGCACACATTATGAAACAAACAGGGCTGAGTGAGCTCAATGAATTAGTGGATAAATGTTTGAATAAGTTTAATTAGTTGGGGTTGGATAATATGCATAACAATATAAATTTATTGTTACAGCCCCAAGAGACATTTTTTTCATGTTAGTATGCTGCACTTGTCAAAAGAGAGCTTTGTTTGCAGTTACCCTTTTAGATAAACACGACTGTATTAGACCTGCATGTTCAAAAAGCCTGAACAATGGACACATCTACTAGTAGTTCTCTGCATGCTTTTATATGCAATATTCAGGCCCCATTCCCACAGACACCATAGGTCTATGTTAATTGATCCAATTTCCCGCAAACTCTCGCTGCAAATAATTAATAACCCTGTTATTATCCTTGAGATTTCAGAACAGGGTAACAGCAGAGAATCGTATCATGTTTTAGCCAGAGAGATATCTGTGAATATCTAGTGAAAAATCCACCTGTGATCCTGCTAGAGGGAACCTTATTTATTCTTAGTCTACAGCACAGCTGATGAAATTTTTATTTGATTCTATCCATTTATATTTTTATCAGGGGTGGACAGAAGCCGTCTTCTGGGTCTTCTGGAAGATGTCAGAACTTTTTAAGTTTACAAGGATGGGCATCTCATTTCTGTCAAAAGACAGTCAAAAATGGAGGATGCATCAACAAATATTACTTGGAAGACTGTCAAAAATTCTCTCTTAATCCACCCTCTGTATGGCTTTTGAAAATAAAGGAATTGCCATCAAATATTTTATGCCAGAGAAAGCCCCTACTAAACAAATGGTACCAGTCTGGGGATTTGTAAGTGCTATTTTAAACTGATTCCAAATTAATCAATTCTCACCTGCAGCTGCTATCAATTCTCTAACACCCTGGCCTTCGTGCAATACTTCACCTGTTCAAAAATATTTAAAACATTTTATGAAACAGCATATTATACATGCATTGCAAAACCGTAGGGCAAACTGCAAAATAGTCATTACGAGAACTCTCTGTTTTTATGTGTCACTACCCTCTACCAGGGTGGTAGATTATAAATATAGGGAAAATGGAAAAATCCACAGAGCCAAATGACTGTCTATTTATCTAGAGATATATCTGTGAATATCTGCGAAAAATCAATCTGTCCCCCTGGTAGAGGGTAATTTGTCACCACGTTTTCCCTAACCTGTTCTCTTCTGGTTGGACTCTCTTCTTCCATGTTTTAAAGGCTTTAGAAGCCCAAAGATACCACTGAGAAAGGCACAAAGCATACACCCCAGTAGCACCACTCTCCATCCAGAAAGCCAACCTCTTCTCCATTTGTGCATTGTCAAGTAGGACGGTTTTCATTTACTTTCTTCCTGATCTTCCTATAAATATATGAACAAGTCATTTAACAACCTCCCTTTAATAATAATATAATGATAATAATATGTTTGAATGAAAATAGATTTTCCATCTTCAAACTTTGGTTAAAAAATTGTAATAAAAAAAAAAAAAAATTGCAAAACCATAATTACATGAGGGGTAATTCCACAGTTTTCACATGTAGGCCAAAAACGTGGAGTTATAAAATTACATCTAGACCATTAGGCCATTCACGCTGGCCGCGATTCAATCGGAGTTAACTCGACCACGGTTAACTTTCTAATGTGAATGGCCCTTATGTTAACTTATCTCACTGTGTTGTCTAATGACTAAATATCTGTATTTTGAGCTATCTGGGAAGTTTACACATAATAACACGTCCTAATTTTTCATAAATATACAATTAAATGAAGTTTTGGTGTCACAGATGGGACATCAGTTTTTAGCCATGGTACTCTTACCCTTGGAATCAAATTTGCTATTGACCATTGGGACATCCAGGGTTTGATGCCTAGACATTTTGTGATAGAAGTTGATATAAAATGAAGCTGAACTGAAACAGTAACATTTTGTCAAAAATTAATTTGTCCCCTCTGTGACAAATTAGATGAGAAAGTTTTCACAATTAATAGAAAACGATTATAGCTTGTCTGTTTTCTAATACCTTCTGACATATAGGGCTACAAGTTAACAAAAATAAAATTGTTTTCAAATATTTTTCTTTTGAAATGTTGTCAAAAGAAAAAATGTCACACATCAAATAAAATTGTTTTCAAATATTTTTCTTTTGAAATGTTGTCAAAAGAAAAAAATGTCACACATCAAATAAAATTGTTTTCAAATATTTTTCTTTTGAAATGTTGTCAAAAGAAAAAATGTCACACAATCATGACATCAAGAGCGGAGGAAGGGTTAGGAATATCCTTGGGGAAACATAACACTATAAATAAAAACCAAATCCCCTTACAATAAAGGCAAAATAAATGTTATTCTAAGCAAAGTCTGATGGATTTACCTTTTGATACATACAATCAACAGAACATTTTCAATATACTTTCTCAAAACACCACCAAAAAGCAAATTAAACTGAATAAACCAGACAATAAACACTGGCAGGCTTTTGTCAATTTCGCCATTTTGTTTATGTCACAAAGATGCTTTTTGCGCATGCGTTCAGACATGCTGAAAACTTTTCAGAATGGCCGGACATTTGGACCGGCAGTAATGAAAAATTTGCCTGACCGAATGGATTTTTGTCAGACCGAAAATCACCCTATATGTTTGAGACAGATACTACCAGTGCGATTAGGTGGCTTACTAAAATGTTTGTGAATGTGATAGGTTTGAAATGGAAGGGAAAAAACCCTTTAGGTTTTATATAATTTGATTAGTGAAGTATGTCGAATGATGACTGTAAATTCAAAATTGTGGTTCTTAAAACTCTTGTCGGTCCTTTAGAGTGACCGAGTCCAATTTTTTACCAGTCCAGACAAATTTTCCCGGTCATGACCGATCGGACCGACAGTTTCAGCATGTCTGTGCGTTGACATAACAAACCCATGCCTATTTCAGTAAAAATTTTTGAACAGTGAGTGACATGGGTAATGATTACATTTAAGCATAGATCTAAATTGTACACACAGTTTTCACAAATCTATGGATACAATAACTACTAACAAAGTATGACTGCAGTCTATAATTACTTGACTGATCTACCTTGTTAAAGATTAAATAGATCAACCCAATTATATATTGAAATATGTAATAACTGCAAGGTGCAATCTGGGACCAATTAAATGTTAACTTCATGGGTGCCAGGTGAAATGTACAGTCAGCAAGGCTCTGCAATTCTTAACATAGAATAAAAACAAAATCCTAGGTGTTATCGAAACTTTTGGTATGTTTTTGATCTTTTGTTTTAATAAAGGTATGCCAAGGTAGATAGTCATAATAGATTGTCTTAAGAAAATCTATCTTCATGGTATGTAACGAGGTATTTTTTGTTAAGTGATAAATGTCTCTTCCTATTTAGAATTAACTACTATAATATTAAAAACTACTTTGTTTTGAACTCTAACTCCTCATACCAGTATTTAAGTATTTTAATACTTTTTCTATTTAATATTTTAATATTTTTAAAAGTCCTTTAAAAAGGAAAACGGTTGGTTTGTTCAGAATCAATTCAAAGGCACTTGGCTATTTGGTTGGATATTTTTAATGGTAGTAATAGTAGGAGAGGGATTGTAAAGCATTACATATTTAAACAATAAAATGGTATAATCAGACCAATTTTCAGCCTTAATTAGAATGTTATTATATCAAGAAAATTAGGAGCAAGTACTAAATAATTACTTTCAACTTAAAAATATCTTCACAGTGGTCAAACCGTCTACCAATGTCTACCTTTGTTTGAAGATACCTGCCTTTGGATAAACATTGACCCAATATCTCAGAAAGCTGTTTTGATAGTTTCTCATTAGCCAGATTATAAGCAAGGTATAACTATGACCCATCAAACTAAATGCATGCTAAATATGAGGTTAAATCAACAAAGATATTTTTTAATTATCTGGATCAACAAAGATAATTTTGAAGACTGTCAGAAAATCTATGGATCCACCCCTGAAAACTAAACTGAATTGTTTTTCTAAAATCCCATTAACATGGTTTTCATACAGCAAGCCAAATCTAAAAATTATCTGATCTAATAATATTTCAAAAATTAGCAGTTCTCTATCTAAACGTTTGGTAACAAATAAAAGGGCAAAAAAACAGGGGCGAATTCAGAGATATTTTCTGACAGTCTTCCAATTATCTTTGTTGATCCATCTTCCGCTTTTGACCGTCTTCCGATAGAAAAAATAAGATGCCCATAAATACAAACTTGAAAAGTTCTGACAGTCTTCTGGGAATACCCAGAACTTACTGTAGAAGAAGGCTTCAGTCCGCCCCTGAAAAAGAATGTTCATTCTTTACTTACCACGTTCAAAAACGGGTTTGACGAGCTAAACACAAGCTTTAAAAAAAGCTTACCTGGATAATTCTGGAGGAAATAAAGCCAATGCACCTTGTCAAATCCTTCTCTCATGACCTCAACAACTTCTCAAGTTTCATTTACATGTACCTGTCGGGTCAGACAAGGTGAGCGGTTCAGGAGCCGGCAGCACGGACAAGAACCCCTCACCCAACATAAAATGACAGATATCTAGACTAGACCTTGTGTCTTCAAGTTAGATTAATGAGTAAATCCTAAAATGCTTACTGCAAATGCATAAATTTAGACTTCTGTCAATATATGTCCACCCAAGTTCAGCAGACTCTCCCACTTAGATCTATATTGTTGTTACGTGACATTGCGCAGTGCACTGAAAGCATTGTAGTGAGATGAGCTGCGCACATTGCTATTCATTGCAGCAGGTGAGATTCAGACATATCTTTTAGTCAAAGCGGAATTTAGACGTGAGCATGCGCACTTACGTCAGCAACCGCTGTGAAGGGATAAATAATGGCGATGTTTGGGCGTAGTATAGGGGATATAATCCACCTCATCTAGACAATCCAACGGAAATTTGTGTTGTTTTAAGGATATGTGCTGATGTTAGGGTGGTTCATCTTTATCTCCTGTAAATAAGGTGGACATAAGACGTCTCTAAGTAAGTAAAAAACAAGGTCTATTTCACATCTCTGTCGCTTGGGTTCACAAAGAACTTCATTGACTGTTTTGATCGTACACTGTTACAGCTGATACCTCTTTTTCTGTTCCTTCAGAGATGGAGCTGAGGGTGGGAAACAAGTATCGTTTAGGCAGGAAGATCGGGAGTGGCTCATTTGGTGACATATATTTAGGTAAGTTGCTGAACTGATAAATCTGATCGTCTCCTTGGATATGTCAATATTATATTGTGTACTCCACTGCTTCATGTAACCCCAGACGCCATATATATAGATTCATATGAATATGCAGCGGTGGGTGCCGCCTGTTAGATTTGGTAATATATCAGGAGAGGAAGGTAGAATCGTTTACTCAGCTTTGCCAGAATCAGACTGCAAACAATCTTTTATCATTCTGGAACTTTTAGAGGGTATTAATTATTATTAATTTGGGCCTTAAAAAGGATCACTTTCTGTGTATTATATAGATCTCCATATTGCAATACAAGGACTTCAGTTGTTCTCAACAGAATTAGATTATCTTCATTATGTTGAACCCATCCCTCATGCATAAACACTAAAGATGGTCTAATTTGACACTGCTCTTCACATGAGAAGAAAAGCGATATCAGTTGGCAATAATTGATACAAGTAAATGAGGAAATGAGCTGGTTGATCTTCTCTGTGTTAAGCAGTGCTTAGACAAACATATTTGCATACGTCAGAAAGAAACCTTTTGATATTTATAAACCTTTCCTAAAAAGTCAATTGCATGTTTACATTTTGCACCAGTGTGATAATGAAGACGAGAGAAAGAAGCCAAATACCATATATTATAAAACTGCAGAGGTTTCTTTTTTGCGCACAGCACTAGTGCATTATAACAAATGTCTTATACCTTTATTTAGCTGTTATACAGTTGCATCTCATCTGCATTTATTTAGTCATTTATTTTATCATAAGAATCAAATATGCTATAAAAGTTTGTCTATTTTGTTATACGTCTTTGGAAATGATGGAGAAGTCATGATGTCCTGCATATGGCTGAAACAACCAATTATTTCTTATATTACTCACATGAAAGAGTTGAACTTAGTACTATACTCCACTTAAGCTTTATTTTAAAAAATTACCCTGTGAAAATGACCAAAACATGACCCTTTCATTCCTCTCAATATTCCACAATATAGTATAATGTAGCTCCAGTGTATGTTTGTATATATATTTATTTGGTATTCTGTTGTGTAGATTTGAATTGCAAATGCATGCGACCTCCCATCATGATATCAGTGTTTTTTCATCTGTATAAGATAAGCTTGTAGCAACCTATCATGTGCACAAGGACCTTATCTTTCTCTTTTAACAGTTTGATAAATCTAGAGAGGTTTTTTCCCAAGGGCCCTCTACAAGCCTCATGTGATATTCTGTATGGTTTGTGGTTGTTTTTGTTGTGGTTTTAATGAGCATGCACATGTGGGCCCGTGTCTTTCACATTCATGTATAAATGTAATTGTTGTATGCGGTATGGGTACAACATCAATCTGAATTTGTCATTGACTAAGAAAGTAGTAAACATCCTATGTTTCCATATAGTATATGTTTACAGAGCCTACCCCACAATTTGCTTTGTTAAAGTACACATCTTATGAGAAATGTGTTAATTACCAGTGAGCTTACTAAGCAATATGTCGCTGTCAATAACATAGTTACCACCAAAGTATCTTGTAGATAAAAATTCATTATGTGCTGAGTCTTTAACTGGGTTTGTGAATGTCCTTGTTCAAACATATGAGCTGGCATAATAAGATTGATTCATTTTGGCAGCAGAAAGTGTAAATTTTATAATTGTTTTTCGACATTGTATGTTGTTTTGGTTATGGAATGGTTTGGGCAGAAATGTTTANGAAATAATGTCAATTACTGTTCTCAAACTTACAGTAAGGAAACATGGGTCTATCTTACAGCTTCTATATGCATTGCAGTCTGTTTGTTTTTTTTTTCTGGCAATTTAACAGTTTTTTGTGAAAATTTAATTTTTCACTTATTTGCATCTTTATTTTCTGTTTTTTTGTCTGTACATTTGACAGCTTTGCTGCCTTGTTTATTTTGGTAATTTCTAGTATAAATGGCATTATGTACAGTAATGTGCCATGAATTTTGAACGGCTCTTTAATTTCTAACGATCTTAAAATTGGATGTCTGGAGGTTTTATGGACCATGAATTTCGACCAGTAAGCAATTTTGTACGATCTTGATTTTTGTAAATTTTGTACACCTCAAAATCTGCCATCAGACAATTTTCACGCTATTTTTGGTATTGTCTAATTTATCTATCACTCGCGTGTTTCTTTGAAGATGGTTTAAATGACACAACATACTTTTCAAACCTGTACATTGACGCAACTACGTGTCAGGAAATCAGTTGCGTTGTCGGCCAGCTGTTGGTCAAGAATGGGTTGCTTGAGTGAAAAAAGTGGTTGTGGATATTGAGCCCTGCATCCAGAGGCCAAAAAGCTCCCAGCAATTGGTACGTTTTGGAAGTATGACTAGCTAGTCAAAATTTTAATTTCCAGAAGGGGCCATTGGTTTTTTTTTTTTTTTCAGAAATTGAAAGGGAGGGTCATTCTCATCTCTTCAGCGGTAGATCATTTGGGAACCGAGGGAATCAAGAAAGCAATATTCATATTCGTTCAAGGGACTGCGTTCACGGTATGTCGTCAGCCGGGGCCCATTACCGATCCGAACGAGAGACAAGAAAGCAAATTTCATATTCATTCAGGGGAGTTCTTTTGCGAAAGCGCGTTGGCGGGAGATCGTTATCGCTTATTTTTATCACCCCCTTGAAATTTAATATTCTTTAATTTTTTTTCATTAAATTACCCCCCTCCCCCCTGTTCCGTAAATCTACATTTAGCTGTGCCTGGGGATTATGAAAATCTGTGCGTACAATTTTAAAATGTCTGGTTACCCTGGCAAGTGTGTCCTCACCTCGCCATGTGCCAATGGGTGTCTTCTACGTATACATAGCCTTCACTGCAGAAGCCAGCCTTGGCATTACTGCCTCTCTACGGCATGCAGGGAGGCAACTATGACCAAAGATCAGTATGTACGGCACACAGGTAGCCTTTACCATGGCAGATAACCAGTATTGTTTACTTCAGTTCTTTGAAAGCAAACAAGAAGGGGTGTCACAACAATGGTGCGTGTACAATTTATACAAAGGACTTGTACATTTAGGTGACTTTAACTTACAATCGAAGGCAATTTTAGATTATATTCTGTGAAAAATACACTTAATTTCTAGAGAATAATATCATGGTTGGCCCAGAAAATTGTATGCACAGTGCATCCGTGCGTATGCCTGGTTACGCCCATGCTTGCGTATAAAGCTACACCAGACTTCAACAGTAAAGGCAACGAACCTGATCGCAGATGACGCTTATAGTCTATGAAGGCTACCTGTATGTGCACTATAGACAACGATTGGCTGTCGTCTCGGCTACAGCACATGGAAACAATGGTAACGCTAAGCCCGGCTTCCGAAATGAAGGTTATCTGGCCAGGGTAGATGCCAATCGCCAGTCATCTCTCCTTCCATCCACTCCCGTTCTGAGTGCCAGGATCGTTTTTCGAAAAATGACACTAGTTTCTTACGGGCAGAATCACTTTTGAAAAATGACACTACTAATAAACATGCTGTTTTGTGTCCCTAGCCAACAGTACGGCTAGTCATCTTGGGCCGTACACAGTGATCGGGTGAAAGTACGTGTATCCCTTTGGTCGCAATTACCGACACTCACCCATCATAAATTACAGTAAAAACTCAAAAATTATTTCACTTAGAAATTAACAAATATTATAAATTGCATAAATCTGACGAATTTTTCAAAATTACGTCTGTCAGACTCCTGGGTATGATGAAATTTTCAAAACTACAACCTTCGGGGTTTTATCCTTGTCCCTCATTTATTGTGGGATATTTATCACTACTTCCTAGGTCAAGACCCGGAAAACTTGTCTGGACCGGTAGAAAATTGGACTTGGTAAATCCAAAGGACTGACATGAGTTGTAAAAACCACAATTTTGCACTCATCATACGACATACTTCACTAATTAAATTATATAAAACTCAAATCGTTTTTCCCTTCCATTTAAAATCTGTCACATTCACAAACAAAGCTACCTAATCATACTGTCTCAAATGAGTAGGGTGATTATCGGTCCTACAAAAATCCATTTGGTCCAGCAAATTTAAATTACTGCCGGTCCAAATGTCCGGCCATTCTGAAAAGTTTTCAGCATGTCTGTAAGTTATATTAACTTACCCGAAAAGTAAGTTGAGAACTGTCTTTTGGTAAGAAACATATGCCCTGCTAGAGGAGAGGGATCAATATAAGCCTATCTGCAACCTTGTATTATAAACTGGATGCAGCATATTTAACAAATTACGCACTTTGCAACGTTTGTTGCATACAGGGCTTTTCCCAGGATTGGATGTCAGGCCTTCTAAAATTACCATCTGTTACTTCCTAAAAAAGTACAGGTAGTCCAACATTTCCAAGTTCTGTGGAGGGGCGGGTTAAAGATAAAATGGAAAAAAAAAAAAATTTCAAAAATCCAAAGGGCGGGGGGGGGGGGGGGTTTAAAATAATGATCTCCTGCTGACGATTTTTCGTGAATAAGTTCTTAAGTCCCTTGAACTAATATGAAAATTGCATTTTATTCTTGCTTACATTGTGAACGATCTTCAGCTGATGATCTTACGCAAATAAAGTCCTCTGAACAAATATGAAAATTCTGTCTCATCTCACTTGGATTGTGAAAGATCTGCTGACAATATTACGTGAATAATTCTCGGCTAAAGATATGCCATGAGCGGGGGAGGGGGTCTTAAGATAAAATGAAAAAAGGGGTTTAAAAAAGTGATCTCCTGCTGAGTATCTTCTGTGAACGAAGTTCCAAAGTCTCTTGAACGAAGATGAAAATTGCAATTTCAACGAAATTTTCAAAGTGAAAAAAATCGGCAGAAAATCATCTTCCAACAACAAATCATCTTCCAACAACAATTTCAAGTTTTAACTGTATGGTAACTCTAAATAGAGAAGGTAACATAAAGTATAGCACCTAACAGACAACTTCCAGTCAAAAATTGACAGAATTCCATGAAATTTGAACACTTGGAAGTTCTGAGCACCTCCATTTCATGAATTTCGACCAAAACAATCTTTTCCCAAATTTAATCATTTTCTACTGTACAAAATTCATGACACATTTTTTGTTTTGCAGTAAATTTGTTTTGCAGTAAAACTGAACAAACTCAAAGTTTACGGTTATATAAAATCCAAGTTGCAATCATTACAGGAAGCATTAAGATCAAAACAAAATATTCAATAGCTGATGTAAAACAAGGCAGCAAAGCTGTCAAATGTACAGACAAAAAGCAGAAAATAACTAGAGGATCAGAGCTATTTCCTAATAATATTGATCACTCCTGTAAGTTTGAAGACAATAGTCCTGCTTTCCTTGAAATGTGTTATCTGTATTTCATATAGTACAATATATGCTAAAAAAAACACCCAAAACGGCATAACTTTTGAAAAATGGTCTTATCAATCTTATTTCCAAAGTCGAACAGTATTTTATGAATATTCATCAGTTTGAAGACAAAAGGTCAAATGGTTTCCCACTGATTATGTTCTATCTGAAAGTGCACGGCAACAGCAGACACATCTGTTTCGATACAGGCCATTATAGAGGATTATAAGTGCAGCTTTTACATACTGGAACTTTTACAACTGTTTGTCATTTCTACAAACCCCCCCTCTCTCTCTCTCTCTCTCTCTCTCTCTCTCTCTATATATATATATATATATATATATATATATAGTATTCAGCTAGCTATAAGTCTTAGCTGATGCTAAGTAGGTCAATAGAGGGCATTCAGACATTTTGTCCATGAGATCAAATAATTACTTTACCTACAACTCACCTTGTTTGACTGATTGTATCAATTTTTCTTTGATGACTTCATCACTGGCATACAGGAACCTTTTTTCAAGTCCAGCAAAGAGATGCATCATGTCATTTGCAGCAATGTATACAGACTCCGAGCTACTTTTTGAAGAGAATGTTGTAAATGTTCTATCTGCTAAAGGCAAAAGGTTCAAACCATTAAGTTCAGCAACTGGAAGCTTATCAAGAAGATACCTCAGCAGTTCAAACTTCTGATTGGGTGGGAACTTGCAATAACCATCATGACTGGCCAGACAATCTTTCACAAGCTTGTAATTGACCTCTTTAGAGACGAATTTCAATCTGTCTTTTTTAGGGTGAAAGTCCTGGATGCCATCAAGCACAAATGGTGGCAGTTTGAGAGGACAGTGCTCTGTTAACAGCATGATTTCATATACTGCTTCACACAGGGCTGGATTGTCTGGAAAATTAACAATTACAGCATCATCAAGAGATGTCCACTTGCCATCATAGGCCTTAGTGTAAAACATATTACACTGGAAGAGCTGCACATAGACACTGAGCATAATCTTCTTCCATTTTTCATCTACCTTTGCCTTGTCTGGGAAGCAGCTAATAACCTGCCCAGGAGAGACAGGGATACCTTGACCCTTTGTAGCTTGAAAAAGAAGCTCCTTATATGCACAGGGAAGGACGTCCACCAGCAAGTGCTGGTTCCAAGCCTTGGACTTGTCCTGTGTGTGCTTGTCATCCGTGGTGGGCCACTGTAAGTCACTTCTCTCTGGGGTGAGTTCAAAGAAGCCATTCACATGAACTGGGAGACCTGTGCCTCGACTATCAGCCAGAGGTAATGGAAGTGAACAAAACACATGGCCAGATGTTTTCTTCTCAACACTTGGAGCATTTTCGTGTGGCAATGCACAATGACTTGTTGCTTGACTGTGAAATCTTTCTACTGGATCCGGGCAATTTGGTGAATCTTCACTAGCAGTTAAATTCTCATCATTGGTCTTATGATCAGAATCTGAAACTAACACCCCCTCTTGGGGATTGTTCAACATCAAAGGCATTGCAATGCCCACCAATGGGATGTTCTTCACATAGTCTGTTTTTTTCACAAATTCCTGAGACTTAATGGTACCACTACAAAAAGTGGTGACCAAATAGGTCTGTTCATTTTTCTGTTTATTCTGATGGTTTTCAGCCTTCAGAATTATGGGATAGGTCTCTCTCAAGGGAATTAGTTCTTTATTGCTATCTCGTAAGCTTCCCAAATGATCTGGTAACTTGCTATTGAATTGTTGCCTCTTATTCTTGACATCTTCAATGTTACTTATTTCTACAGCAAATAGCAACTTGGTTTCCTTATGATCTCGTCTGTACATCTCAATCTTTTCAACAGACCTAAGGAAAAGTAACACCAGGAGTGCCTCCTCTTGGAAGGCTTCAAATAGTTCTTCGATACTGTCCCTGTCATACACATTGCTGGATATGGGTTGAGCATGACGATGTTGAACATGACCAGCATTACGAAGAGGGAAACGGAACAAGGTACCATTATAGGGGTTCCCTTGAAATGTTTCAGCAGAACAGTCAAATACACCAAGAAATGGTTTGTACTGTTGGTGAAATGCCGCTATATCTGTAAGACCCCACCTTTCAGCTGCCTTTGGTTTGAAATATTCTCTGTAGGGATCAATCATAGCCATGTACTGGCCACTTATCACACAGGGGAGATCTGAAAGAAATATGTATTTTTTCTTTGTGAACTTCTGTCTGTTAAACTTATAGTTAAAGATCATAATCATTTTCTTTGCAATTGGAGGCAGGCTCACTTATTCAAAAACACCATTTCTGTCTAGGGAGTCCGATCAAAATGAAGGGCACACATTTTGAGACTGTCCTTTTTCATCTCTAAGTCAAGAATTCACCCCCACCCATCTTAAGCATTTGTAAACAATTCTCAGGTGGGTTTTTATGTTGTAAAACCTGAAATGTTCTTTACAAAACACTACATACAGCAGATATGCATTACAAAGCTTTAATAGGAGGGTAAAATCTTGTTTTTGTAAAAAAAAAATTACATGCCTGAAATCTGCACAGATTGCAAAAAAAAGGCAAACATAATTAATTAAAAGAACGACCTTAATGCAATATTAAAAATCATTCTGATGTTAATTTACCTGTAGGGGAAACAGTATAATTGTTCTTATCCTTTTTGTTCTTATTGGGTAAGTACTTTGTGTACCTATGTTCTAATGATCCTGAGATCCTTGAAATTTTGAGTTAGTTTTAATCAAAGAGACCATGCATTCCCACAGATATTTAGATCAGTCTATCCCCCTGGGAAGTCTCACTAGATTGCTGTCAGCTTAACCAGCTTAAGGTAGCAATTAACAGTAAATGGCCAAAATGTGGGTGTTTTTCTGAATTTGTCAGTATTAGAAAGATGAAATATCAACTACATATCAGCCTATCTTAAAATAATGGAAGTTTACAAATAAACCTGTAATTTTAGCCTAATTGCTGATTTACCCCTGTGGTAGCATGTCTGAGTTTTAAAGTAGGTCACACTTGTCCATATATGTGTTTGATTGGCAGCTCCACTGTGCAGCTGTATATTTCCCATACTAGATTGCTGCTAAGCCTTTCACATTCTGTGAGTAACGTCCTGCTTTCACTTGCCAAACAATTCTTTTCATTTTGAATTTATCCGTGAACTCAATTCTGGCAATCTACTAAAGCTCTAAAAAGCAGACATATAGATGAGACGTATATGGGCAAAGGCACTCCCCCTAGGTGTCACGTGGTGAAGAAGACTGACGTCACGACTAACATGGTGGCTGCTGTCAATGCATGGAGGAGGCCTCTGGTTGAAAATGTTCAATAATAATATTGAAAATGGATGAAAGACATAGTGACAGTTACATAGGGAGTGAGTAGAGGGCTGAACCAGTATAAATAACTAAATTTCTCGGCTTGCCAATGCAGCTCACGGATTATATAATGTTGGAATCTCCGGGGACCACTTAAAGGCTGATTTCTCTGCTTCAGTTTATGGCTTCAAGAGAACGATTTAGACCAGTGTCAAAATTAATTAGAACTCTCCACCGATGAAAGCTGGCATTCATTCGTTAGATCTAAGGTTTGTCTGAAAATGTGTGTCTGGGATTTCATAACATCAGCTCTGTTTTCAACTTACGTGGGCTTTAGTTAGACTAGGGAGTTGCGTTGAACTGGAAAACAGGTTTATTTTGATATCTCTGCTAATTTAACTCACATCGCTTAATTCAGGCGCATGCTTGTTGATCCCAGTGAGGGCTCACGAGCCAAGCTGTGTACACATGTCCATTTGTAGTGGACTTCTAGTTTTTAAGGTGTAAAGATCATGTTGAGCACACCTATTAAGCATAATATCTCATGACGTAACAATTACATAATAAAATAAGGATATGAAATGAAAAGTTGTTGAAATAAGCTTTTTATTGATATGTAACATATTGGTATATCTTGGCCGGTTTAGAAGATAGCTACCCCTGTTAATTGCTACCTTAAATGTCTGTCCCGCCTACTAAAAGCTGTAAGGGGGTAATTAACTTTTGTGTGCTGCTCCTGAAAGCTGACAGCAATTTAGTGTGAACCCCTAGGGAGTTAGGTCGATCCAGATTGATCAATCTAAATCTGTGGGAACCCAGTCATATATGTATATACGATGTGTCTGTACATAAAAAGGAACCATTTTTTTCTTGTTATAAAAGCAGTGTCATATTTCATATTGGATGGTTCACATTCCCCTAGCATCTAGTTTTAACACACAGCAACCCCTAACAAAGCCAAATTGATAAGGTTTTCAATACTAGTATCATTGTTAAGGAATAAGAATTTGATTGATATTCAAAACATATAACAACTGGACTTTGAAAGAGTAAGTATTTTTTTAGTAACAGAACCATTACCTGTAATATGAAAAACAGACTTGAAACCCAGGCCAAACCTCCCCACTTTCAAAGCATCATCCTCCTTTATACTGTCATCTATCATACGTATGCCTTTCCAGTCTTCTTTGGTGAAAGCTGCATTATTGTATGCAAATAATGAGGGGCCCTGAAATGACACAATTCTTAAAGTACAAACAGACAAAAAAGTAAGAATTAATAGCCATAATTAATAGCCAGATTTATATGCCACACACATGTACTTAATTTATAATGCAAACACCAAAATAAAGAGGCAGAAAATGTCTGGCAACCATGGTTTATTACTGTGTTGTGTTGAAGTGTTGAAAGTGAGGGGACTTGTTGGAGTCATCAAGAAATGTTGAAATTAAGTATCAATGTGAAGTCAGAAATCAATACAATGGGCCTAGTTTCTTTCTCCAAAGTTCCTTTATTTTTGCTTTACTTTTTATATTTACTTTTTATATTCTTTTAATTTAATTGATCATTTTTAACCCTCTCCCCCACCTCTTCTCATGCCATTTGGAAAAGTTGGGACTCCCTGAAATTTTGGAGGAAATTACAAATTGTAATTTTGGATGGCCCGAAATCCCAAATATGGGAAGAGCCCTATACCATATATTTAAATCAGTGTGTTCTCTTAGATTGGTTGCTTGAAGATGTGACACTTGAGTTTTTGCATTTACCAAAACAAGCTTCAAAACAAGTTAAAACATATGCCCTGCTTTTGGCTACCAGAATCATGGCAATTTTCCCAAGTTTATTCTAGCCCCGTCATTCATATTCTGGTAATTTAGTCATGTGGCATGCAGACTTTACGAAAGGCATCAGACCGTCGGACATGCCTGGCAAATTTCTTCTTGGTCCGATAAAAAATCCTGTATCGTCGGACCTTATGTCCGGCAAGTTTTCAAACTGACTGGGATTGTGATAATATAAGGAATACGTTGTTGTTTCTTTTCTGGGCGATATATTTTACTTCATTCAAAAGAGAGACGGGATGAAAATCCCGGGGAGTTCCCAGCTAATTATACATAATTTATTAACCTCAGTTTCACTCTCAAATACTATTTTATGACTGGCTGAGGTTGGGGGATTCCTGGATGACATAATTGACAGTCTCGTTTTCGTGATACCCTAACACGACAAAATGGCCGCAACACATGTGTGCATGCTCTATTTCTTCAGTATCAGAAACGGATTGATCGGAAGTTTACTAAAATTGGAAAGAATGTAGGCCTTTGCAGAAGTATAATCTGTAGGAGAGGAAAATGCGGCAATTTGCCAAGCATTTCGACCGGTCCAATCAATCTGACCAGAAAAATTATATTATAAAATTAATTTTTCTGGGCTCAAACATTTAGTCCAAACGTTAAAATCATGCGACAGAATTTTTTTCTTGTTCTGATTGTTCGACCACATCGTCGGCAAGGCTCGGTAAATTTTTAAGCCATTGAAATAGATGCTACATGCCTCGGCCCTTTGTTAATTGTTGTCCTTTCAATAGCTCTTGTCAATGAGGAAGAAACTTTTAATTGAAGATCTAATCTGAAAGCAAGACAAACCTGTCCTTTCCTTTGTCCCCGATAACAATAATAGTGCTTATAGACATATAATTTGTGGTCATTAAGCAGACTTTCCCTCGCTGACTGATTTGTCACGCCCGTAACTTGGGGGGGGGGGGGGGGAGCATTTTGAAGAGTTAAAAAAAGGTCTGTCCTGGATGGAACCAAATATCGACAGTGGGTAAGATATGTCGTAAACACCTTTATATAGACCATATATAGCGTTTGCTAGCAATAAAAAAGTTTGGGAAAAATAAGAAGTATTTTCAAGTTGGATTAAAATATATATGCAGATGGGGAAACGTTCTTGAAGTCAATACCGCAAGATCCTATATCTCCTACAAAAAATCAAAAGATCAGTAGGATCGGCCACCTAGACTTCTTGGTGCCAAATACCATGCGATGTCAAAATCTGACCGTTTAGCTATTCACCTACATGGATAACTGATTTATCAATAATAAAAATGGCGTCTTCCTTATCTCCTTGTAAGAAAATACAGTGACTTATTTGACGATGACAAGCGGAGCTTCACACATAGTCCCACTGGTATTTACATTACCTGTGAGTCACTTTTTATTTCCCCTAGATGCACGGAACTTTGATATTATTTAGCGTAATCTGCGAAGAACTCCATTCCGTGACCCCCTCCACCACAATGGGGTTGTCTTCATTAACATGTGGTTTGCGCTAGGTATGCTGGAGTAGACTAGATAAGACCAGTCTCTCATTTCTACGCTTGCTCAATTCTAATGTAAAATTATAAAAGCATCTGTTTTTTGAAAATTATGGCTATTAAATGCTTATTTTAATTGGGGTTGTTTCAGTGGGGTTATTAATATGCACCGTGCATTGTGCACAGTGAGTCTAAGTATGTAAGAAAATCGGAAGAGTGCCAACAAGATACCCTGTATGTATATCGGCACAGGTAGGCTCCATAGATTGCCTTTTCTCAATATGTTTTAATATGACATGATTTTTAAATAAAATACTTAAAAGTAATTTAAAGTTACACTGAATTCAGTTCGAGTACCAGTTGGTATTCTTTGATAAGGGCGATTTAATTTTCTTCGGAAATACGTACATCGATCTACGTCTCTATGCCTGATCTCAGACTGGTAAAAAATATCTCAATTCGGTTGATTTTAGTTGACATATTAAAATTCAAATAGGACATAACTGGTTTGAGGCCACTAAAGCTACCGGTTTCAGTGACCGGGCATTGTTTACAACACCTGTCTCCGGGGAAAAACTTGTCCGACTTGACATGAAGTACGTCATGAAAATGATCGTAGGTGATTGAAATAAATAGATAGAAATTATGTCATCTATTTGAATCTCAACTAAAGATTGTACATATTGTACACAGCAAAATAAGATATCAAATGGAGTATAAAACGTGCTTAAAATGCGTGTTAGGTGAAAATTGCAGCTTATCTTGCCTAACACTTCTGGTAAAATGCAATACTTCTGGTAAGATGGACGTTTTGGCAGATGCCACTAACAATCCGACAATACCAAAGGTTTCCATTGCCATATTTTAATCAATTTGACCAAAACGACATTTCCATGAAATTAATTAATTAATCTTGGTCAAATTGTTTGGCATATTACCGTATCATTATGATCAACAGCAACATAAATCTTACAGCCTTATTACGGATTCTGAAAATTATGGAACACGTATGTACGTGTAGGCCTACCGTTCGTGACCACAATTGGAGAAAGTACACGTGAACTTGATGAAGGCTCACAGTTTGAGTTTCTTTTTATCAAAAAGAAATACAATGAAGAAGGAATTTAGACTCAGGCTGAACAGTCCCTACCAAACCTTCAATTTGATGAAAGAGACCGCCTTACTTTGTTGTTTCACAATGCATGTTATTGCCAAAAACAACGGGTGAAATGGTTATCAGATTAACAGAGTTTTTATGGACATATGTTTGATAATACTGGCTACACATTCTTCATACTTGTATTATTTTTAGTCATTTTACAACGCCTTTTTCATTAGATAAAAAACAACTTGTTATGCAAATAATTTTTGTCTAATTTTTTTTTCTTTTTTATCTTATTTTTTCACAATATATAAAAATGATAAAAAATACACCTATAAACATAAATAATTTGTCGTATTTCTGTTATTTTACTTCGGTCTGACAGATTTTGTTTCGGTCTGACAGAATTTTCAAGCCGGTCAGAACGAATGACTGACAGATTTTTTTGGCCTTTTGTATATAGTCTGGGCATGCACTCAACTTTCACATTACGAAGATAAGTTACAATTGTAGAATAAAAATATGATTAAAAAAACACTCCATCTTTATACCTGAAATTCCTTGAGACCAGGATGGCTAAATCCCCCAGTGTCATCACCATCCACCAGATGGCAGCAGTCATCATACAGAAACTTCACCACTGTGGCCCCAGCATCCTCAGCATTCTGAATTATTTCCTTAAATAAAAAGTGGACCAAGGTTTGACCTTCCTAGATTCCCATGGGTCATTAGTGGCAACACCATATGAAGCTTGCATATATACACATATTAGGAACATTTTGTCAATTTGTTCAGTTAAAGGTGACCTTTTTTATTTTTTATTTTTTTATGGGGGGGGGGGGGGGGGGGGCTGCTGATAAATCCTTAGACCCTGGTGTTTTAAAGTACTTGTACTACAGGTAATACAGATCAAAAATTTTCTGGCATGGACTGTAGTATTCATTTTTTTCATAAATATTACTGTGTTGAACTTGTAGAAATATATACTCCTATCAGTCAATAGCTCACCTTTAGAATTTGTCCATTATCGGGATATCTGCGTAGGATATTTTGAAATTGCTTGATCAAAGAGGGCACAATGACATCAAACTCATCATCAGACTCCACCTCGTCAGCCATTTTCTCAGTCCAAGGTCCAGCTAATAATAAGTTACAAATTAAAAGAAAGATTTATCACAACAAATACACAAAATTGGTGCTATAAATTCTAGGTTCAATCTTCAATCAACTAAGTGTGGTTAAAGATTAGAGAGAAAGAGAGCGACAGGGAAACAAGGGGATCAATGGGTACAGAAATTGATTAATCACTAATTAGTTATCTCTCCAGAAATGAGGTTAACCGCAGTTTGCCAAACACTTAACCAAAAACCGAGCTTGTCGTTGCTGATAAATATCAGGGTGCAAGCACAGAGAACAAAGAGCCCAATGTTTTACACAGTGCCCACAAAGCGATCATACTGGGGTATTCTAACTATGAACACTCTCTTTTATATGCATTTATACATGTATTTCAATCTTAAATAATACACTAGTCCAATATGATGAGTGATACATGAGTGATGTCGTAATGATACATGTACTAGTAGTAACATTCTCGTACATACTTAGGTTTACAAGGCCCCAAATAGAGGGTATGGAATACCTCCCATTAATCACCAATCACAAAGAATTAAAACAGATATATTCAGGTCAATCACCAATCACAAGGAATTGAAAGCTACCGACATTCATCAAGATTGCTGTTCTTGCAGAAATGCAAAGAATTAATACCAGAATGATTTATTTTGTGTGTTGAATGACAGGAATCGTCTGCTTAGAGATATTCAGCCATTCTCATTGGTCAGGATTCCCGTGACAGAGACCTAGGCAATGATTTACAAATTGAACCAGAAACTAGCAAAGTACTCTGAAGTAGCGAATTAATAAGTACTGATGGAATAAAAGTACTGGGTGGAAAAAATCTCGAAATTTAATAAAAGTACTGGATGGAATAAAAGAACTGCCCGGAAAAAACCTCGAACCGCCCCCTAGTCTGAGCACCCCCCCCCCAAAAAAAAAAAAATAAATAAAATAAATAAATAAATAAATAAATAAAGAAGAAGAAGAGAAAGAAAAAAGCTATTTATCATTGTAAAAAAACTTTCACAAGGTAAAATTTACTCAGTATTATCATTTATTTATCTTGAAAACAGGATATCTAATTTATTTTAAAAAAAAATATTTGCCATACGTCCTGAATAATATATCAAAATGTCATTTTTGTCACCCCCTTATGATGAAAATATACATTCGAGTGAACAGCATCTACGGTTCAATCGGCATAAAGAGCACATCATAGCACTGAAACGGCACTGCTCAAGGTGCACAATGATATTCTTCTGGCACTTAATGATCAGAAACAAGTGGTCTTATTATTACTTGATTTGTCTGCAGCCTTTGACACAATAAACCACGAAATTTTGTTCAACAGACTGAAAAATCGTTTCGGTATAGATGGTATTGCATTGGCATGGTTCAAATCATACCTGACTGAGCGTGAACAATCAGTCTCAATAGGCACTCACAAATCACCGTCAACACCACTAACTTGTGGTGTACCACAAGGCTCTGTACTCGGGCCCATCCTGTTCACTCTTTACATGTCACCAATTGAGGACATTGTCTCTAAGTACGGTTTTAACCTAATGCTCTATGCAGATGACTCACAAATTTATATTGTTTGCGACAGGCCATCAGATGTAATACCACCTATCCAGAAATGTGTTATTCAGTTGAGTCAATGGCTTAATGCCAATTCACTTGTTTTCAATGATGGCAAAACAGAAGTAGTTCACTTTACTTCTCGTTTTTCTAAGGATGCGGAAAAACTAGAACTATTAGAAATTGGAAACAGTACAGTTTCGGTAAAAGATGAGGTTAAAAACCTTGGAGTAATTTTTGATAATAGGTGCGATATGGCTGCTGACATCAGTAAAAAATGCAAAGCAGCTTTCTATGGTCTTAAAAAAATTTCCAAACTATCCCACATCCTTGATAAAAGTCAAATGGAGAGGCTTGTTCATGCCTTTATAACTTCACATCTTGACTACGGAAACAGTCTACTGTATGGTCTTCCTACCTACCAAATTGAAAAATTGCAATCTGTCCAAAATGCTGCAGCACGACTACTGACCAAAACCCCTCTCAGATCAAACATTTCACCCATTTTATTCGAACTACATTGGCTTCCTGTACGACAGAGAATTGTTTTTAAATTACTGTTGTTTGTTTTTAAATTCACCAGAGGTGAATACCCCTCATGTTTTAACTCGATGCTACATCCAAGTACACCCAGTCTCACCAGGTCTACCAGATCCACCTCTACTCTTTGTTTTATCAGAAATGATAATAAAAAAACAACCGAAACCTACGGCCACAGGGCATTTTCAATTTCAGCTCCCATTTTATGGAATCAACTGCCCTCACACATTCGGACTATTGATAGTGTTGAGGTTTTTAAAAAAGACTTAAAAACATTCTTATTTGAACAGTATTTTAATTAATATTTTCTCATTTTATCAGAAAAAAAAGTTTTATTGTTCAGACCATTACTATTTTAACCAGCTTTAATTATTTTAATTGTTTTTTACCTTAGCTTTTATTATCTATATAATTAGTTGTAATAATAATTTTATCTGTAAACAGCACTGAGACGGTAGTGTAGTGCGGTTTTAAGAAATAAATATTATTATTATTATTATTATTATTATTATTATTATTATTATTATATGAGTTAAATTTCATAATCAAGGTTCAAAGACCCAGATATATCGCACCTAAGCCGCCTCTGATAGCCATACACTGTTAGGAGACATTATTCAAAGTAAATTTATTCTCAGATATAAGGTTCATTTTGCATACCTGTAAACTCCTGAGGGTTTATCTTACATAGAAGTGTGATTAAACATTGTTTAAATCATAAATCAGCATGAAATAATTGACGTTTGAAAACAGACAAAACTTCTTTGCTGCACTTGAAAGGACCTCGTTAGCTATAAATATGATCCTATCACCTTGCGACATGACATCATTCGATCGATATACATGGATAGTTGTCACTGTTGAAGGGAAAGCACGTCTTTTTATAGGAACTGAAATCAGACGACGCATGTACAGTTGTGTTCAGAGAGCGACTTTAACTTGACCTACTTTCCAGTGCTGTATGTCGAACAGTAGCTATGAGTTGAGATCTCGATTGGTGCATCGGTATTTTTTTCTCATTATACTTCAATTTAAGAAAATAAAAAACTTGACTTGTATATAAGTATTTAATAAACATACCGAGATGGAAGATTTTTGAAAAATTTATAAGCGTACTGGGTGGAAATGGAGCACACCGGCAGAAAGAAATTTGAAAAATTAATTAACGTACTGTTATGCTTATTTGATACTTCAGAGTACTCACATTTCCACTTTTCTACCTTCCTTGTTTAATGAGTTTGTTAAATTTATCTCCAGTGAGATCGCCTTATAATCATGATGCAAAGTTTGGGACATTTTTAGAACAAATTCCTATAAAACTAACTAAATGTTTTCATTAATCACGTAGATTTGGAAGAGTAAATCGCAAATCACGTTGATGAATTTATGCCAATAACGCAAAACAAAGAAGTTCCTGAATCACATTTCACGTAGAAAATTGGGCTCAAATAACGCATCATCCGAAAAATAAGGCCAATCACGCATGATGCAAAAGTTATTCCCTACCTTCCAAATAGTTGTGAATACTTGCAATTGGTTGTAAATGTATTCAATGAAGAGTATACAGTACTAGTATGTACATCCTGTACATGTATAAGTATCCATAAAAGGAGAGGAAAACTGCCCTGTCTAATTTCTTGGAAAGATGGGTGCGCTAAGTGTACTTTGTACTTTCACACTGTCACGTCCTAGAACTTCTCATATCATACACTACACATGAACTACAATAAAAATTGATTATATTATTCAACAATTTCAACAGGGTAAACTGCATTTCTCAGATACTCCTACTTTTTGAAGTCATATATTATTTTAATTGAAACATTCCTATTGAGAAGTACAGGTACATGTAGTAACAAAACTGAAAAGCAGGCTACCTAATACAGTAAGTCTATATTCTACACACTAAAAGCACTACAAGCGCTACAGAAAGATATATGTTTAATGATAACTGACAGTTGATAATTATTTCCATATTGAAAAGATTGAGTCATTCACTGCTGTCTGTTGTCCTCAATTCAGACAAAGTTTGGAGGTCAAAGCTCTGCTTCGTAGTCTTAGGAAAATGCATGTGCACAATTATCAATTTATATTTTACAAACATGCATTTCATAGATGAAAGACATGGTGTCGCTTAACCTTGAATTACTTTTGATCTAAGTAAGAAAGATAAAAAATTTGAAAAGGTTTATTCATACTCAGATGTGTTAGTTACCAGTATGTGTGTAAAATTTCAAATCGGCATTTTAGCTTAATTCATTTGAGTATATAAAATGTGACCCCTACGTACATTACATCTGTATACATACTGTAAGCTAATACAGGCAGCCATGCACACTCGTCTATAAATATCAAATACCTGTAACAGAGTGTTTTTATATTTTTATATTTTTCTAGCATGGCAACAAAGTTGATTAGTTTTCCAAAAAGTTAATTAGTTCAATTGTGGCAAATAAAGTCATTTAACGGCCTAATAAAGTATATAAAAAGAAGGCATATGTAAGAAGACGGCATATATAAGGCCCCTGAAAAAGTACAAAGAGTATATTTTAATAAGGCCTATTTCACAAAGCTAAATACATACTAAAACTGAACGCGAGACAAATATCGGTATCATAAGACAACTACTAGTACTTATGCTGTCACAACAAGATAGCGCTTGTATTCTCTTATATAATGTTATCTTTTATAATGAATAACTCTGAAAATGATACATTATAAGTAAATACTAACCCTGACAGACAACTTCGGACAAAGCCTAGAGCACACAACCTCACACCACACACGTGCCTCTTCATCTCTGCACACACAGTGAATGAATACTACACATATAATACCGGTACAAGGTCAAATTCACCGCGTGACTTCCGTAGTTACCGGAAATTACATAACCTGCTAAATATTCATGAGTGTCTTGTCACTTGTCACATACCAACACCCCTAGGCAGCATTAGTTGCTTGATTTTGTGAACCCCCATAAAACATGGCTCTCAAATGGCAGATCTCAGTCCCTTCCTACTATTGTTTTGCCCTGTCTCGACTAATGCACCAGACAGACAAGCCTATCTCGGCATGTGATTCATTTTTGATAATAGGTGAGATATGGCTGCCGACATCAGTAGAAAATGTAAAGCCGCTTTCTATGGTCTTAAAAAAATTTCCAAACTATCCCACGTCCTTGATAAAAACCAAATGGAGAGGCTTGTCCATGCCTTTATAACTTCACATCTTGACTACGGACACAGTCTACTGTATGGTCTTCCTACCTATCAAATTGCAATCTGTCCAAACTGCTGCAGCATGACTACTGACCAAAATCCCTCTCAGATCAAACATTTCACCCATTTTATTCGAACTACATTGGCTTCCTGTTTGACAGAGAATTGTTTTTAAATTACTGTTGTTTGTTTTTAAATTCACCAGAGGTGAATGCCCCTCATATTTTAACATCGATGCTACATCCAAGTACACCCAGTCTCACCAGGTCTACCAGATCCACCTCCACTCCTTGTTTTATCAGAAATGATAATAAAAAAACCACCAAAACCTACGGCCACAGGGCATTTTCAATTTCAGCACCAATTTTTTGGAATCAATTACCCTCACACATTCAGACTATTGACAGTGTTGAGGTTTTTAAAAAAGATTTTAAAACATTCTTATTTGCACAGTATTTTAATTAATATTTTCTCATTTTATCAGGAAAAAAGTTTTATTGTTCAGACCATTACTATTTTAACCAGCTTTAATTATTTTAATTGTTTTTTACCTTAGCTTTTATTATATGTATAATTAGTTGTAATCCTGATAATTTTACCTGTAAACAGCACTGAGACGCTAGTGTAGTGCGGTTTTAAGAAATAAATATTATTATTATTATTATTATTATTAGCTATCTCGAAATTTTGAGACAGTATTTTGAAATTTGGATAAAAAAATCTTATCATGAAATTTCAAGATAGCTATGTTGAAATTTCAAGATCATAATTTTTTTTAAACATGAAACCACACGGCTTCTGTAGATAACACCCCATGCTGCAATGAATCACCAAACAATTGTGTGTTGATAACACTGATAACTAATCATGCACTGTGTTCATGTAACCCAATCCATTCATAAAACAGGTTATAAAAAGTAACCAGTTAAGTTGTTAAAAACTGTTACTTGTGGTTTTTACTTTTACTATTTTACTATTTTACTATTTCTGAGCTCAAATGATAAGCCACACAGAAGAACAAGGATTTAGGTTTTTAATCAGCATGTCAGATTTTTGAGAAATTTGGGGAAATTTTTTGGGAAGTTTTTTGCTACCCCCCCCCCCTTCTTGGGGCCAGTGATAAAAAGTAGAAATGTACTGCATACACTTTAAAAGTTACTTAGCTTGTATCAACCCATAAATGTTTGCACACACTTAGACCCCATTCCCACAGATTTTAGAACGATCTATCCCTGTGGGGAGTCTCACTAGATTACTATCAGCTTAGC